CCAGCAGAGGAAAGACTGAGAGCTGAGGCCCCTGCCGCTGGTGGAATAACAGTCCCCCCGCAGCTCATGGAAGAGCCCATGCTGAAACTGGTGGTTACATGAAGGAAGTTGTGGCATGGTGGGAGGCCCAAGGATAGAGCAAAGTCCTGCAGGAGACCTGTGGCGAGGAAAACCCACACTGAAGCAAGTTTTCCCAGGTAGGACTTGTGGCCCTGTGGGAGACCCATGCCAATACAGGTCATTCGTGAAGGAATGGGACAGCAGATTGGGAAGAACTGCTGCCTGAGGGATGGATTCACACTGGAGAAGTCCATCAGGGAGTGTATCCTGTGGGAGGGACCCCACGGAAACAGGGGAAGGACTCAGAAATGTCCCCTTGTAGCCTGTGGTGATGACCATGGTGAAATAGGTGTCCTCCTATGCTACCATGGAGGAGTAACCTCTAAGACAACAGAATGGGAAGAGGTGCAGGAAATCTGCAAAGAAAGAGGAGAGGGGGAATGTGTTGTGTTTTTAGACTGTTCTATTTTTTACTCTTTAGCTCTAATTCTGTTAGCAATGAATTTAGCTTTTAGTTTGTTAGTAATAAATCTAAGTTTTATTCTCACTCTGAGTTTGGTTTTGCCTGTTAATACTGCCTTCTCCTAGTTCTTATCTCTACTCAAGAATCCTGGCTGTTTGTGGTTTTTTTCCCTATCCTCTGCCCACTTGGAGGAGGGCAGGGTAGAAAGGTGGCTTTCAGTAGGTGCTGGTGGCTGGCCAGGATCAAACAACTTCACTTTGCTGTGCTGTAGATATCACAAAGTAAAAACATTGTATATACAAACATTCCAAGACTGTTTAAAGAAAGTGGAAAACTAGTCCAAGATCTTATTCCATAAATTCATCTTATTAAGCTTTAGTTATTTGAAGATCTTTACCAGAAAACTATGACACACCTAGAAGCCAAAAAAAGAAAGATATAAAGAGACAGTATACACAGCATCACTCAAAAAACATCTAACAAACTCCTCTACAGCAGCTGCATTCATACTGACAAAAGAGAGCTTATCTCAAACACACGCTCACTAGGAGAGGAACATAACATCTTACTGTTTTACACAAAAACCCCAACCCTGGCTTTCAGACTTCAAAGTACAAGCAGAAAAAGGAAATTCAGTTATACACACGAGCACAGCTGACTCCCACTAGGGCAGCAGCAGCCTGCACTCACTGAAAGCAGTGTAACTTTGCCCTCCACAACATCCAGTTTCCTCAGTATTTCTGAGAGCTCTCCTGTCCAGACACACTCTGCTCACACAAATGTACATGTGATGTGTGTCCAGCTCTTTGCCCCAGCTTCCCCCATTAGAGCAGTTCCATTTCACAGGAGTTTACTTATCAGATTAAGTTCTCTGATAAATACAGCTGGCCTTCACCGAGTGAGAGACCCACACTGCAGGTCAGGCAGAGCAGAGATTATGTAAAGCTAGACCGCCTTTTTGCTATAAAGCACTGGAAAAGGAAAATGTGCTCGCCCTTATTTTTTCTTTTATCACTTTCATACAATGTAGATCCAGTTCCTGGGTGAGTCTACAGTCATTAATTTGTTATGCACAGTCTTACAAAACAGCATTCCAGCCCTTGCATTCCAGAGATGCATGAGCTACCTTTGACTATTAACAGCACCGATATTTTTGGCCAGTTCAGCCAGTACACAAGATTTTCAGACAAAAAGTGTATTTATGCTACACAAAGCAAGAGAGCATGACAGATAACGTAAGGTAATCCTGAAGCAAGCTAGTGTGTGTCCTTAACCCAAGAACCACGTTTGCATGATTCTAGCTTTCTCCCCAGAGCTGTATTGTGTGCTACAGTCTCTAAAGCAAAGTAAACAGTGTGCACGGTTATTTACTCCAATTAGAATAGTGGAAAGGTAGAACTTATCCTCCATCTCAACATGAAGCAGCCAAGGAGTCCTCCTCCTCCTCCTTTCACTCTTTCCCTCCCTCGGATACAGTAATTTTAGCATCTGTTAACAGCTCCAAACCTATTAAAAACTGAGACACTCTAGTACAACAAGCAAAAATATTTTATTTACCAGGTTGCAAAGTACAGCTACAAAGACAAATTCAAAGAAAGCATAGCCACTAATACTACAGAAATGGCTTCTCTCTACCTTCTTAGAAAAGGCACATTGCCCTCCAGAATGCTGTATTCTCCTTACCATATGGGTGAGTCAAAAATGTGGTAAGCATAGCATGGAGGCAAAACATCTGGCTTTCATCTCTACTTACTTTTGCAACCACCTATAGGAAATATATTACATGGATACTAAATTTAACTAGTTGCAAACCAAAACGCCAGACCAGTTGAATTTGTACATCCCCTCTACTATTTAAAGAAAAAATAGGAACTGGGTGTCTGAGTATCTGTTGCTATAGGGATGTACAAATGAATGAAAGAATTGTAGTCATTAGTCCCCAGCAACTGCATGGATCTCATCACCATTGTCACCCCTCCATCTGGCATGCCAAGCCGCTCTTTCTTCATTTTCCATTACGTCCTCCTAACCCAATTGCTTTGCCTTGCTGCTGCCATCAATTCTGGTTTGCACCGGTGTCCCACCTCCAGCAAGATCTGCATGGTAATCCAAGGTAAAAAAAAAGCCCAGCCCAGTTAATTAGCTTGGGCTTCACCCCACACCTCACTCACTAAAAACATGTTAGAAGATATTGGACATATACCTATCTAGATGATTAACCAATTTTTGCTGCAGGTTCTTTGATAATTACTTTTCTGATTCCCCCCCCCCTTTGTCCTACATTCATAATTTTGTTTTAAAATTATGGGAGGTAATATATTAATACAATTTTAAAATTTACCTATTGCAGTTGGTGGTTGCTGCATGGTCTTGCATACGCCATGAGGAAGATCTAAGCTCCCTTTCAAAGATGATAGTAATTGTTAACCTTTTCTGCTGCCAGCTAACTTACAAACACTGCCAACTGAGCTAACTAAATAACTTGTTACCTGTATGGTATTTCCAGCTAGACTCCATCAATGTTTTCTAAAACCACAGAACATAAATTTCAAATTTCACATTCTATAAAGCAGACTTTGTTTCATATGCATCTATGAGCACTACAGATAATTACCAAAGTCCTGATAAAATTGTGATGGAAAATATAACTGCACAGGATTATGTGGTCAATGTCTCCATAAATTATTATTATTATTATTCTGTGACTGTAAAATCTACTACTAACCCATGTTTTCAATTTCTCTAGTTAATTTTAGGACCTTCCACTTGCATTCAAAATTGCTGATTCAGTCTAACACAGCCTTACTGCTTAAACAACTTGAAATTCAAAATAATTTTTAAAGCAATGATCATAATTTTCCAATACAGATCCTTAAATATATGCCTTACATAATTGTAAAAGAAAATAAATACTTAGCCAAGTTATATCCACCCAGACAAAGTGTTTTATAGCATTTATTTTGTGTGATGTTACGAACTTTTGCTGTACGGCTAAAATATTATAAATACTGTAAACTTGAGTGAGAACAGAAAGGTACATTGCTGAGGCAACAGAATTGGAAACTACTTCAAACTGAAAAACAGAAAATTGCACAATCAGAAAATATGTATCTATGTTTCTCCCTAAGGTATCTTAAATTCTTGCACTTTACTCCATGTGCATCAATAGAAAACACTTAATTTTGCAGAAGAGGAACAATCAAATAAATAACAAAGAAGCATTTAGATTTCTCTCCAAAAATTTGTGCCCTGCCTTCTTCAATTCGAGATGCTGATACTCAGATAACATGATGTGGAGGTCTACAGAACCAAACCATGCCACCAACCTATTTGCAAGTGCACAAAATGTAGGATACACTTGGGAACTGTGAGAGACAGCTCAGACTACAAGCTTTGGAAAAAAACATCTTTAGAGGAAAAACCACTGCAGATGCAGTTTCCCTAAGTCAACGA